CTGCTTTTGGCTCAGGGTGTGATCCCGGGTCTGGGGATCCCAGTCCCACATTGGACTCCCTGCAAGGGGCCTGCTTCTCCCTGTGTCTGTGCCTCTGCCTCTCTCCTCTCTGTGTCTCTCATGAATGAATAAATAAAATCTTAAAAAAAACAACAACAAAAACACAGGATCCCTGGGTGGCTCAGCGGTTTGGCGCCTGCCTTTGGCCCAGGGCGTGATCCTGGAGTCCTGGGATCGAGTCCCGCGTCGGGCTCCTGGCATGGAGCCTGCTTCTCCCTCTGCCTGTGTCTCTGCCTCTCTCTCTCATGAATAAATAAATAAGTCTTAAAAAAAAACAGAATTTATTTATGCATGTGATACTTAGTATTACTTTTTTTTTTTTTAGATTTTATTTATTTATTCATCAGAGCACACAGAGAGAAAGAGAGAGGCAGAGACACAGGCAGAGAGAGAAGCAGGCTCCATGCCGGGAGCCTGATGTGGGACTGGATCCTGGGTCTCCAGGATCAGGCCTTGGGGGCTCTAAACCACCGAGCCACCCTGGCTGTCCCAGTATTACTTTTTTTTTTTAATTTTTATTTATTTATGATAGTCACACACACAGAGAGAGAGAGGCAGAGACACAGGCAGAGGGAGAAGCAGGCCCCATGCACCAGGAGCCCGATGTGGGATTCGATCCTGGGTCTCCAGGATCATGCCCTGGGCCAAAGGCAGGTGCCAAACCGCTGCGCCACCCAGGGATCCCCCAGTATTACTTTTTAAAAAAAATATGTTATTTTTAACTAATCTCTACACCTAAAGTGGGGCTTCAGCTCAGGACCTTGAGATCAAGAGTGGGATGCTCTACCAACTGAGCCAGCCAGATGCCCCAATACTTAGTATTACTTAATGTGTCTCTCTTAAGCTGGAAGTAGTATTATTCCTATAATTTAGTATAACATCACTCTATTTTCTTCTGATTTTAAATTATGTATAGATATAGGACGCAGAAATAAATTCGGTCTTAAAGAGTAATATGTTATAAATTTGCTTTGAACAATATATTATTATTATTTTTTAAAGATTTTATTTATTTATTCATGAGAGAGAGAGAGAGGCAGAGACACAGGCAGAGGGAGAAGCAGGCTCCCTACAGAGAGCCCGATGTGGGCCTCAATCCAGGGTCTCCAGGATCATGCCCTGGGCTGAAAGTGGCACTAAACCGCTGAGCCACCCCGGGATCCCTGAACAATATATTAAATATTAAAACTGTGTTAAAGAAAATAGCACTTTCACGAGTGCAACTAAATTGTTTAAATAGAAAGCTAGGGCAGCCCCAGTGGCGCCGCGGTTTTATCGCCGCCTGCAGCCCGGGGTGTGATCCTGGAGACCCTGCCTGGATCTAGTCCCACGTCAGGCTCCCTACAGGGAGCCTGCTTCTCCCTCTGCCTGTGTCTCTACCTCTCTCTCTCACTCTATGTCTATCATGAATAAATAAATACATCTTTTAAAAAAATAAATAGAAAGCTAGTCCCACTTAAATAGAAGATATACTCAGCAACACCATGCTGTGAACATTGTTTTGAAAACATGCAATGTACTGTTTGCATTTAATTCATATAATTATATGTCATTATGTAGGAAGAATGTTTAATTGAAACAAGCAACAGATAGTTATTTAGTATAAAGTTTATTCGTATGTATAAAAGTGCCTGTAATAGGAAATCCATTAAACCAAAATTTAATCAAGGGTGTTGGAAAAATGTGCATTCAAAAAAAAAAAAAGGTTGCTTTTTCCAGATAATGAAAATACTAGCATATTTGTATTGGATTGCCTTAAATTCTTAAACTGTTAGGTAAACATTTTTAAACAACAAAAAAAGTCAGAGGAAACACACAGTACAGAAGATTGAAGGCATCAATATATGTTATATATGTTCTTAAATCCCACATAGGCATATCTACAAAAGACTCTAGTTTTAAAAAAGTACAGAAATTCCAGACACTCTTCTAAGAGAATAAATGCTATACATAGTATTTCAAAGCAAATTAACAACTAATAAAAATGTAATTCACATTCAAATAGAACAAAACCAATTTGAATAATATGAAATTGAATTTTTGAGTAGCACTAAAAAAATTTTTTTATCAAAAAATTTTCTTCTACATAATGGAAAAGTATACACACACATAAATTATGTGAGAAGTAGAAAAAATTGGTTAGAATTTTACAGGTCAGGGAGAAACTGAAGATACAGAAGACACTGTTGCTCTAGTTTTTAATGGTTCCAAGAATTTTTACCCCACTCTATACTCACTCAGAGGGCACATTATTAATAGATGAGAAACTTTGACACAGTTTATGCTTTGATTTTTTTCGTTTTGAAAAAGAGAATATTCTGTGTAGAATTATGTAAGGTATAACCTTATAAATATGTATTTGTCTTTTTTCCTAGTTTGATTCCCTATTTATACCCATATTCTATTCCTTCCTGATTGTAATGGAGGGACTGTAACAATCTAATTAAATACAAGTTTATGTCAAAATAGATTTAATGGTTAAACACTAATCAGTTGCTTGGGGAAGAAGCACAAACAAAACAGATCAAACAAAGAAAATACACTACCAAAAGTACAATAGGAATATAAAATGATGAATGAGACTGAAATATATGTCAATAATTTTATATTAAGATATTTTCCTTTCAGTCATTATAAGCATTTACCAGGTATGAAATTAGCATACAGTGTTATATTATTTTCAAGTGTATAACGTTGATTCAACAATTATATATATTCCTCAGTGCATCTGTCATCAAAGAACGTTACCATGTATTATTAACTGTATTTCCTTTATTGTACTTTTCATCCTGTGACTTGTTTTATAACTAAAAGTTTATCCATTTGAATTTTTTTATTTATTTCACCCATACCCCCCACCCACCTCCCCTCTAATAACCATCAATTTGTTTTCTGCATTTAAGAGTCTTTTTTTTTTTAGATTCTGCTCATAAGTAAAATCTTTTTTTTTTTTTAAGATTTTACTCATTTATTTATGAGAGACACAGAAAAAGAGGCAGAGATACAGGCAGAGGGAGGAGAAGCAGGCTCCATGCAGGAGCCAGATATGGGACATGATCCCAGGAATCCAGGATGAGGTCCTGAGCCAAAGGCAAACACCCAACCGCTGAGCGACCCCTGCGTCCCTGCCTGTCAGTAAACTCTTATGGTCCTTGTCTTTCTCTGTCTCACTTATTTCACTAAGCATAATACTTTGTAGGTCCATCCATATTGTCAAAAATGGCAAGATCTCATTATTTTCTATGGATGAGTGATATTCCGTTATATATATGCCACGTCTTCTTTATCCATCTGTCAATGGACACTTACATTGCTTCTATGTCTTGGCTATTAAAAATAATGCTGCAATAAATACAGGGGTGCATGTATTTTTTTAATTAGTGTTTTCCTTCTCTTTGGGTAAATAGTAATGGAATTACTGGATCATCTGGCTTTTCTATTTTTAATTTTTTGAGGAATCTCCATACTCTTTTCCATAGTAGCTGCACTAATTTACATTCCCCATCAACAGTGGACAAGGTTCCTATTACTCCACATCCTTGCTAACACTTGTTATTTCTTATCTTTCTGATACTAGTCATTATGACAAATATAAGGTGGTATCTTATTGTGTTTTGACTTGCATTTCCCTGATGATTAGTGATACTGAGCATCTTTTCATGTGTCTGTTGGCCATCTGGATGTCCTTTGGGAAAATGTCTATTCAACTCCTCTGCCCATTTTTAAATTCGATTGTGCAGTGTTGCATTGTGTAAGCTGTTTACATATTTTGGATATTGACTCCTTATTGGTTATAGCATTTGCAAACATTTCCCTTTCAGTAGGTTGTCTTTTCATTTTGTTGATGGTTTCCTTTGCTGTGTAGCAGCTTATTTTGGTGTAATCCCATTAGGCTTCCTGCATGGAGCCTGCTTCTCCCTCTGCCTATGTCTCTGCCTCTCTCTCTGCATCTCTTATGAATGAATAAATAAAATCTTTAAAAAATATATTTTGGTGTAATCCTGTATCACATTTTACTTTATATAAAGTATTATGATTTCAACATTGGATGTTTTACAAATACCAGTGATTTCACAATATTAATGATGAATTCTAGAAAAATTCGAGTGAAAGCAACAGTTTTACACTAAATGATGGCATATAACAAATCTAGGCTATTGCTGGGAGAAAGGGGTAGTCACAGTTCTGAAGTGAGCTTTGCAATTAGATTCTTATGAGTCAGTGGTAGTAAACAAGTTCGAGGAATATTTCAAATAATTATTCAATAAGAGATACATTCTGTCTTATATTTCTTTTTTTCCTTTTAAAAAAAAGTTTATTTAGGTAATCTGTACACCCAATGTGGGCTTGAATTTATGACCCCGAGATCGAGTAGTATATTCCTCCAACAGAGCTGGCCAGGTGCTCCTGTCTTATATTTCTATTTATCTTAAGAAATACATGTGTGTGAGAATACATATACATGTATGTAATATATGAATCTATATATATTTATGTATGTATGTTAGATGGACATAACTTTCTCATACAGAGCTAGAATTAAGTAATAAGATCCTTGTTCTTTATAATTTGAATTAGCATAATTCTGTGGGTAAGAGATGGGCTTAGAAAGGTGTGTCTGGGGATCCCTGGGTGGCGCAGCAGTTTGGCGCCTGCCTTTGGCTCAGGGCGCGATCCTGGAGACCCGGGATCGAATCCCATATCGGGCTCCCGGTGCATGGAGCCTGCTTCTCCCTCTGCCTGTGTCTCTGCCTCTCTCTCTCTCTCTCTCTGTGACTATCATAAATAAATAAATTAAAAAAAAGAAAAAAAGAAAGGTGTGTCTGGGCAGCTCTTACTGCCATAGGTCCTGTCCCTGTGCTTTTATAAAACCACCAAAAAAAAAAAAAAAAGAAAGAAAGAAAGAAAGAAAAGAAAAGAAAGAAAAGAAAGGTGTGTTTGCTCCCCCCCCCTTTTTTTTTCAATCCATGAGAGACACACAGAGAAAGGCAGAGACATGGGCAGAGGGAGAAGCAGGCTCCCTACTGGGAGCCTGATGCAGGACTCGATCCCAGGACCCTGGGATCACAACCTGAGCTGAAGGCAGATGCTCAACCACTGAGCCACCCAGGTGCTCGTGTTTGCTCCTTCTAAACCTAGCTCTCACCAATATGTTAGATTTAGGGCAAATTATCCTTCTATGCCTTAGTTTGATTGCTACAAAGTGAACAAAGTAGGGTTTGCCTCTGACCTTTTGGAGAGAATGAAAATAAGGGCAAAGTGCAAAGTTATATGAGAAAATAGTCCATATGTAAAATCAAGGTATGACTAATGGTAAATTTTTTTTTAAGTAATCTCTACACCCAAAGTGGGGCTTGAACTCATGGCCTCAAGATCAAGAGTTGTATACGCTACCTACTGAGCCAGCCCCATAGTGGTAAAATTTTTATAGGTCCTATAGGTGGCTTTAAAAAGACTACTTTTGCTGGGGTGCCTGGCTGGCTCAGTCAGTGGAATGTGTGACTCTTGATCCCGGGTTGTGAGTTCAAGCCTCATGTTTAAAAAATCTTTAAAAAAATAAAATAATAAAATTAAAAGACCACTTTCCCTAATTATATCTAAATGTTGCTAGATAATTTCTTTGTGACAAGCAACTGAAGAGACCCCAAAATCTAGAAGGATAAAGTGTTTGGCAGTCTGTAATGAGTAAGGTCTTGCTTATATCTGCCTTAAGATCATGTTGTCTTAAGAGACAGAAACACACATGTAATGATTATGCTTTCTGAATATTTAATTGGAAAGAATTACCAAATATGTGTGGGTTTTAGTCTCACTTCCATAAAAATTATAAAAGAAAATATAATTTTACAAATGGTCTTAAATAATAGGAAAATATAATGCCTAGCAAAACAAAAAGAACAGAATTTTCTCTTATTTCTCAGGCGTATGTTATTTCTTGAGTTCCTGCAAAGAGAAAACAAATCCACATCTACATCCACACCCATTCACATAAATGTGTGCAAACATACTCACTCCAGAGGTTTATAGCTTATATTCTATTACATTGTTAAGGAAGACTGGTCATATATACAATTAGAAGAAGAGACAAAGTATAAGTTAAAATTATTACTAATGGTGTTTTGTGTCCAGACGCTAACAGGTACAAGGGGTTGCTGATAACTTTAGTTAGTATTTTTTTTTAAAAGATTTATTTATTTATTCATTCAGAGAGAGCGAAGAGAGAGGCAGAGACACAGGCAGAGGGAGAAGCAGGCTCCCTGCAGGAAGCCCGATGTGGGACTCGATCCTGAGTCTCCAGGATCACAACCCGGGCTGCAGGGGGCACTAAACCGCTGCGCCACCAGGGCTGCCCTAGTATTATTTTAATAGCAGAAAAGTAAACTAATTTTTTCTAGGTTCTTGAACTATTATTTATAAACATCAACAGAGTTTCAAAATAAAGAATTACATGTAGTTATATATAGATAATTTAGCAATGAAAAGGATGTGTCTACTCATTAGTAGCATGGGCAACTTTATCAAGTTCTAGTCACTCCTAGATTTGAAGACTATGTATTTGATAGTATAACAACCCTTCCAAATCCTTGCCATTGCAACACTGTACCTTCTGAAGACCTAACTCTGCATCAAGTGATTTTTTTTTTTGCATCAAGTGATTTTTAAAAATTACTTACTCCACTCCATAACAAAACATGAGTAATTGTTAACAACTAAAACCTACAAAAGTGGTGAATGCTATGCAATAATTTAAAATGTAAAACCAAGTGATTATATTAAGGCCACCAGTTTATACTGAAGTGTCTTATTTTGTGAAGTATTTCCAACCAAAAAGAAATAAAGAGTGGGTTCACTATCCTGACTTTGGATAATCTGATGATCAGAAATTCTTGTTTTATATCCAACACGAGAAATCTGCAACCTTTATTTGTACAAAAGATAGTGCACCAGTTCTAGCTATGGCATCTGTAACACAGATTTTCTGCACCATTAAAATAAACAAAAAAGTGCTCTCTTCTTTATTGCAAGGGTAAAGTTTCTTATCAAGCTGATAATGATCAAGTTCAGGTCCAAGATACCAACAGAACTGCTGTGGTGTTTATTCTTTCTTCACTCCTTGCAGTTTGTCATAAAGGGCTGAAATGACATGTCTCTGTGGTTCATGGAAAAATGAACCATTCAAATAACACGAATCTCCCATACCACCATGGCGGGCCTAGTGAGATGGGAGTGACATAGACTTTTTAAACACCCTAAACTCTTTTGCTGGCCCAGGGTATGGTGGTGGCGGGGAAACACTGTGTTTTCTGGTGAGTGCCATTGCCTGTTCATAGGAAGGTAATCCCGTGTCCTCCACTGAAAGTGGTGATGGATTCAAGGCAGCCTCCTCAGGTCTTCTGAAAATGATGGAGGGAGTGTGCCTTCTTACATAGGTAGGTGAAGAACTAAATGGAGACACAGCATTTAGGTCTAGAAAGGCAGCATTTTTAGGCTAAAATGGCAATATTAAAAAAAAACCCAACTGACTTTTGATAAAAGTTGAACCCAGTTTATTAATATAACAACATTTTTATTTTACCCATAGACTCTGAAAAAGTGTTGGTATGGTGGAAAGGTCAAGAGCTTGGGGGTCAGACATGGATATGAAACTGGATCTTCTTGTTTCATAGCTGTGTGGCCAAAGGCAAGTTATTTGTTTCCTTCACAGTAAAATGAGGTCAGTAATAGCTACCTCAACAGAGTTGTTTTGTGTGTAGCAGAAAGATTTTGTATGTCAAGTACCTAAGCAGTGTCTGGAACACTATGACAAATACTCAGAACATGCTAATTCCCTTTTTCTCACACTTCTGAATGAGAACTTTCTCAAAATATGGTGTGAAACAAAATCCTTTCTTGTCAAAAGGTAGCGTTACTCCAAGCCAAGGAGACTGATGTCACAGAGATAATCACGAAGCTGTAGGCTTCAGCTCAGGTCATGATATTGAGGTGTGTCTCTCATCTCTGTTTCCCTTGCAGTCCTGCTGCCTGGGCCTTCTCTCCTAAATAGCACCTCTATCATGTCTCTCGTCTCTGCAAAAGTCTAACCTGCAGCCTACTTTCCACTAAGTCAACTCCCATATCTCCTTTTAAAAGCCTCCCTTATTCTGGCCTCTCCTTATTTTTCACAGCTCTCTGCTCTTGCAAGGTAGCCTCCCTACACTTCTCTATATGTGCAAGGAATTCTGTGTCCTGCCTCTGTGCTTTCACTGCTGTTGTTTGCTTTCTCAGATTATTGGCTTTTCCCCACTCCATTGACCTAAGGCCAATAATTAAAAAAATATATGGCCTAGTTCAAGTTCCACCATTTTCACAAAACTCTGTCAGCTATATTAGCCAATGAAAATCAAAATGCAACATTGGGTCTGGTGTTTTGAGCCTGTGTTTTCCCTTCTCATTATTGAATTATGAATTATAATTTAAACATTAGTAAATTGATCTGTTTGGACTCTAAAGTTGGCTGTCTATGAAGCACTTATGCATAAATTAAGCTCCTAGAACTATGGCTAATAAGGTAATTAAAATTCATAAGTAATCAACTTCTCGTCAATATTTACAATATTCTTCCCGACAAGAGACAGGCAGACTCAAAATACTGTAAACTTTTCCAAACTAAGGCAGTCACTTTGCACCTTAGTACACCTTTTCCTTGGAGGCACCATGAGATATGAAACTGGAGGAAAGGAAAGAGGATGACTGCGGAGAGAAGTGAAGAAGATCTGTGTAATCTAGGAACTGGACAGTCAGCCCTTCAATAGCTGAGGGGTGACGGAAAGCATCCATCACAAGTTTACTTAGAGGGCTCAACACAATTCCTCCTCTGTCAGAAATCTGGAGCGGGTTTCTGGTAGGCTAGTCACTTGCCATGTTCATTAGTTTATGATGAAAAGTTCTGTTTGTTTGTTTATAGAGAACAGGAGAGACAGATGTTTTATTTGAACAAATAAACTTTTCCGTGTTGACTTCCAAATTTCAGATACAGAAACAATATTATAATTGCATTAAAGATATTAAATAATCTACATGGTGATTTCTTACATATATCTTAAATGATTGATATCAGAAAGTAGGCACCAAAAACAACTCAAATAAACTAACATCATACTATGCCTATTTTCTTCCATAAAATATAGGAAACAAGAAATGAAAAGATCTTGTTTCCCATTTCTTGGCTTGTTTTGACAGAGGAATGAGACAGAAAATGATCTTATTTTTTACTCTTTTCTTTCTCAAATATTTCCTCACCCTTCCCCCATTTTCAGACGTGCAAAATGTAGAAAGCAGACAAATAACTCTGCTAGAAGAATTTCTTGGGATAATAGATGAAAAGTACTCTAGTATTTGTTGAAAAGGTAATCCCAAAATAAGAGAATGTCTTATAAACCTAGTGTTCAGTGTTCCCTAAAATCAAAGGGTTGCTCTGAGGATCAAAGTTAGATGATGGATGTAAAAATGATTTGTGATCTGTACAGTATTATACTGTACTAACATTAAGTAAGTATCACTAATCTTGCTTTTAAAATAAGAGATATTTAGGGATGCCTGGGTGGCTCAGGAGGTTAAGCAGCCCACTGTAGGCTTCAGCTCAGGTCGTGATATTGAGGTTGTGAGATCAACCCCACAGGTAGACTCTGCACTCAGCCTGGAGTCTGCTTAGGATTCTCTCTCTCCCTCTCCTATTACCTGCCGCCCCCTGCTCTCGTTCTCTCTCTAAAATAAATAAATAAAATCTTAGAATAAGAGATATTCAAAGTTTTAAAATTTTACAGTAACATACACAGAAAATGTATGTAATAAAACTATTTTGCTCCCTGTGCCTTTGAATTCTGCTTCTAACCTTCAGCAGGAAAGAAGCTAGAAGTTTTCAGAGAAAAAAGGCCTAAGGTAAGGAGATGTAGTGGTGCAGAAAAGTGGAAAAATGCAGAAAAATGAAGAGAAGAGAGAAGAAAATACCATGCAGGAGGACACTGAATAATGGCTGTGCTATCACAGATCTTGAGCACAATTATTATTTATTTAAGATTTTATTAATTTATTAATGAGAGACACACAGAGAGAGGCAGAGACACAGGCAGAGGGAGAAGCAGGCTCCCTGCAGGGAGCCTGATGCAGGACTCCATCCTAGGACCCCAGGATCATGACCTGAGCCAAAGACAGATGCTCAACCACTGGGCCAACCAGGTGTCGCTTGAGTACAATTCTTAAACATGAGAGTATACATGAACTTTTTTGGGAAGACATTATAAATGGGGAGGAAAAGAAAGATAAAAGGCAAGAAGAGTCTCCAAAGACAAATTTTGCCTAGATTTTCATTAGTCTGGGAGTTTCCAGGACTTCCTCCCCTACTTGTAGAGAAAGCCACACTGAATAAAATTTTGGTCAAAAGTCCTAGAAAAAAAAAAAGTCCTAGAAAAATAGAAAGACCTTGCTCATTTCCTATCTGTTCAATAAGGGAAGTTTTTTTTTATTTTTTATTTTTTTCAATAAGGGAAGTTAATAAAAGTGTCTCAGCTTAAAAGATAGTGGCTTATGAAAAATTAAGCAAGTTCTTCCTTACTTTCTCTCATTTCTCAGATTTTTCTTTTTCTTTTTTTTAATTGTTTTATTTATTTATGATAGTCACACACACACACACACACACACACACAGAGAGAGAGAGAGAGAGAGAGGCAGAGACACAGGCAGAGGGAGAAGCAGGCTCCATGCACCGGGAGCTCGACGTGGGATTCAATCCCGCGTCTCCAGGATCGCGTCCTGGGCCAAAGGCAGGCGCTAAACCACTGCGCCACCCAGGGATCCCCTCAGATTTTTCTTTTCTTTATTTATTTTTTAAAAAATTTTTATTTTTATTTTATTTTTATTTTTATTTCTTTATGATAGTCACAGAGAGAGAGAGAGAGAGGCAGAGACACAGGCAGAGGGAGAAGCAGGCTCCATGCACCGGGAGCCCGACGTGGGATTCGATCCCTGGTCTCGAGGATCGCGCCCTGGGCCAAAGGCAGGCGCCAAACCGCTGCGCCAAAAGACTTTATTTATTTATTCATGATAGACACACACACAGAGAGAGAGGGGCAGAGACAGAAGCAGGCTCCATGCAGGGAGCCCGATGTGGGACTTCGATCCGGGGACTCCAGGATCATGCCTGGACCGAAGGCAGGCGCCAAACTGCTGAGCCACCCAGGGATCCCCATCATTTCTCAGATTTTTGCAGGATTTACAGAGGTCTCTGACAAACTCCTTTGTCTATGTCTACAGGTCATGTTAATGCCTCAGGAAGCTAGCTGTTCAGGAATTCTAGCTTGGGTATAGAATTACAATTTTTTTAAAATTTTTATTTATTTTATGATAGTCACACACAGAGAGAGAAAGAGGCAGAGACACAGGCAGAGGGAGAAGCAGGCTCCATGCACCGGGAGCCCGACGTGGGATTCGATCCCGGGTCTCCAGAATCGCGCCCTGGGCCAAAGGCAGGCGCCAAACCGCTGCGCCACCCAGGGATCCCTAGAATTACAATTTATGTTGCCCCTGTCCTCTGCCCTCTTTCTGGCATGTCTTCTTTCTGTACCTTGCTGTGGGTACCCTTTAATACTCTGTCCTTTTCCATCTGTCCTTACATCACCCTCAGAGAACTTGCCTACTTTCATGGCTTCAGGGTACCCATGGATTTAGTTTTATCCTCCAATAGATGAATCCTAATTCCACATCTGTTGCCCCAAACTCTCAACTTATAATAAAGAAAAATTTTGTAGTGGTAAAATACATATAACATAAAATTTGCCATTTTTAACTATTTTTAAGTATATGACTCAGTGGTATTAATTCTATTCACAATGTTGTGCAATCATCACCACTATTTCCATAATCCTCTTGTCACTTGGTCACCATCATGAGCTTTTCTCATGATTGATTTGAAAGTGTGAATAGAGATATGTAAGCATCAATTTCGAATACTGTTTAGCACCTGGCACTTTTTTTGAATAAGGTTACTTTTACACTTACTCATCTGCACTTACTGAGAAAATAATAGAGATAATAGAGAATAACTTTTTCTTTTAATGAGGATGTTGAGGTTCTATTGTCCAAATAATATGGCTTTTATGAATCTTAATCAAGCTTTATTAATGTGCTATTATCTTTAAGTTGCAACCATTTTTATTTCATTCATTTTTATTTAATTTAAATTACCAATAAAAATGGTTGATTTTATTTTATTTATTTTTTTTAATTTTTTTAAAATTTTTTTTTATTTTTATGATAGGCACACAGTGAGAGAGAGAGAGAGGCAGAGACACAGGCAGAGGGAGAAGCAGGCTCCATGCACCGGGAGCCCGACGTGGGATTCGATCCCGGGTCTCCAGGATCGCGCCCTGGGCCAAAGGCAGGCGCTAAACCGCTGTGCCACCCAGGGATCCCGATTTTATTTTTTTTTAAACTGTCTTTTTTTTTAAGATTTTATTTATTTATTCATTCATTCATTCATTCATTCATTCAGGAAAGACACAGAGAGAGAGGCAGAGACACAGGCAGAGGGAGAAGCAGGCCCCATGGAGGAAGCCCCATGTGGGACTCGATCCCAGGACTCCAGGATCATGCCCTGGACCGAAGGCAGGCGCTAAACCTCTGAGCCACCCAGGGATCCCAAAATAGTTGAATTTAAAAGCCAGTTACATTGTTTCTATTTGGGTAGCTACATGGCTGGATCTGCTAAGACTGTGACTCAGAGTAAATGATGGAACTTTCTGCCTCTGGAAACAAAGTAGGGACACTGGCATCTACTCTCTGCTTAGAAAGGAGTATTAAAAAATCAAGCTGACGCTTGTGAATCCTCTTGTATTCTTTTGAAGGATTTTAGGAATTGCATCATTTTGTTGTTTATGTGTTAAATCGGGCAAACAACTGTCATAGACCGGCAGGGCCTGGAGAGACAATGACAACTAAATGCCATGTGGTATCTTAAGTGGGTCCTGGAGCAGAAGAAAGACACGAATGGCAAAATTGGTGAAATCTTAATAAGGTCTGGAGTTTAGTTAATAGTAAGTAAAGTACCAAAAAAAAAAAAAAAGTAACGTGCCAGTGTTAGTTGGTTTGTTTTACGAATGTACTATGATATATGAGATATTAACAAGGAGAGAAAATGGGTGAAGGATGGGAACTCTCTGTGATCTTTGCACCTTCCTGTATATCCAAAATTATTTCAAAATAAAATGTTTATTTTTAAAAACAGGCAGCCATTTTTATCCATTTAAATATAACAATATAGAATGTACAATAGTAAAATAAATATTTTTACTTGGTACTTACCTGGGATATTGTTGCCTGTTACACTTGGTGATACAAAGATAGTAACCAAGTAATCCAAAAATAACCAAAAATACTCCGGCAGCAATTAATCCAGTCAGAAGGCCCATGACATCAATTTTCTCTCTGTTGGCATCTTAAGAGAAATCAACAAAATAACGTAACTATATCAACTGAAAAGAACTGCCTATGATTTCAATAGATTTATTTATTTAAAGATTTTATTTATTTTATTTGAGAGAGAAGGAATACAGGAACTGGGAGAGGCGCAGAGGGAGAAGGAGACTCCCCACCGGGCAGGAACCTGACGTGGGGATTGATCCCAGGATCCCGGGATCATGACCTGAGCCAAAGGCAGATGCTCAACTAACTAAGCCACCTCGATGCCTCTGATTTCAATAAATTTAACACTTGATCTAAGCATACTATTAAAAATCTAATAATATTGATTTTTTAAAAAATATTTATTTATTTTATGATAGACATAGAGAGAGAGAGAGACAGAGACACAGGAGGAGGGAGAAGCAGGCTCCATGCCAGGAGCCCGACGTGGGACTCAATCCTGGGACTCCAGGATCGCACCCTGGGCCAAAGGCAGGTGACAAACCGCTGAGCCACCCAGGGATCCCCTAATATTGATCTCTTTACAAAGTCTTTCTGCTAGCAGCCAAAATTTGTAAATAACACTTTCTAAAAGCCCTGGTTATAGTTTTATTTACTGTAAATAGGTCATATTAAATGGATAGCATTCAAGACTAAACATATTCTGGGGTCCTGGTTGGCTTAGTCAGAAAGGCACACAATTCTGACCTCAGGATCATGAGTTTGAGCCCCATGCTGGGTGTAGAGATACTAAAAAAAAAAAAAAAAGAAAAAAGAAAAAAAAAAGAAAGACTATACATATTCTTTGTTCAACTAGGCACATTTGGTATTAAACACACAGATAAACATACTAAGCAACACTAGCATAGCAAGGTGATAAAGTCTCCTCTAGCTGGGGCTGTATTTGAGGGGAATGAAGGAAGAGCTGGCAAAAAAGACCTGACTGAAAAAGCAGCTAGAGATGATAATACAGATAATATAAAGGTTCTCCCCTCTATAGAAGTTATCTAATTCTAACAGTCTTCATTTACTTAGTAGCAGAAGTATTCCATTTACTTGTAATTGTAAAAAAAAAAAAAATTAAAATAGCTTACTACTTGGAACTAAAGGAGTCCTACTTTTATTCTGTGCAAGTCTTGACTTAGCTGAGTTGTTTAAAACACCTTTAAGCCTATTATCTCATTTCCCTAGTATCTCACCAAACTTGATTTTCAGTGTATAAAGATGAATGTGGCTTCCTCTGTCTTAGATAGCCCAGTGTATAATTGAGAAATCATCCCTGGATTTACAAGGCATGTATGTTGAGCAATAGCCAAACTCAAATAATAAAACTAAAATGTATTATAATAGAGAGAGGGCGGGAAAAACATTCAATTTCATCAATTCTTGCCTTACCTGATTTTGTGGTTGGTCCTTTGATGGAATATTTCTGCCAGAATGCCATCTAAGAGAAAGGTACATTTTCCAAGTTTATTTCATTGTTTTGTTTTGTTTTGAAAGATTTTATTTATTTATCCATGAGAGACAAAGAGGCAGAGACACAGGTAGAGGGAGAAGCAGGCTCCCTGTGGGGACTCCAATGCAGGACTTGATCCCAGGACTCTGGGATCACTTCCTGAGCCAAAGGCAGACGTTCAACCATTGAGCTACCCAGGCATCCCTATTTCACTGTTTTATCATCATTTGATCCCAATGACCCGGACTGGGATGGTAAATTCTTGGCATGTGTCACAGGTAGTATACTAGTTTATTCAAGCTGGAGGACTTGACTCACTCTAATTAAAGCATTACCACCCATCACTGTTTCTCAGGAACTGGTCAGGGGATTATTGCCAGCTCCAGCTCTCTGCTACTGTACGCTGCCATTCTCTTCACCTGCTCATGGTATCTGCTCAGGTATCAGACGAGACTCTTGCATTAGAGAGTCAGTGACAGCACCGAAGGTGCGGAAGCAGTAGACCCATTACCAAGTTTTTTTTTCTAAAGGATTTTTTTAAACTTTTTTTTTTTTTAAAGATTTACTTATTTATTCATTCAGAGAGAGTGAAGAGAGAGGCAGACACAAGCAGAGGGAGAAGCAGGCTCCATGCAGGAAGCCCGATGTGGGACTCGATCCTGGGTCTCCAGGATCACACCCCAGGCTGCAGGCGGCGCTAAACCGCTGCGCCACCGGGGCTGCCCCTATTACCAAGTTTGAAAAGGAGCCTGAATTTTTCTACGCAAAGTGGGCCCTCGGTTTGCTAGGAGATTTTATTGAAAGGGATTGATCTGGGGAAAAGACATCCCTAAGACTCTTCAAGTTCAGTGTTACTTGAGAGAATGAAGCAGATGGGAAGGAACTACAATACAATTATAAAAAGGGTTTGCAAAAAACAGGATAAGATTTCAACAGGCACAACTACAAATCTAGACTTTGTTTTCCTTCTCTAGCCAATGTGACAGCTGTCAGCAGGGAATGAGAGGCTGGGCACAATTTGGGGAGAAAAAAAAATTAAGCCCCATTAATACCTGCACTCGAAGGATACCTAGAGTTCCCTGTTCTTATTGATCAAAGAGTAAAGTGGAACACCTAAGGAAGAGAAAAAAGGAGCTCTGCTAATTTAATTTACAAAAGTAAAGAAGTTGGGTCACTTAACATTCTCTAAGAATATGCTAGACTATAATAGGAACTGTGCTGTTCGTTTGTTTTGTACTGTCTCAAGATTGGTAGACAGGATTTAATTACATTTCAAAGGAGAACTTCTAAAAGTTTCTCCCTGCAATTACACAGATATATCAAACAATAAACTCCTGGATGCAGAGACTAGATATTTTGTATCTTCAGTCTCTGGCCAGAGCACTTGGCACATAGTAGATTGAGAATAAATACAGTAGTCAGAAAAGATAAAGTCACTGGTAGGAAAAATTGCACTGAGTCTAGAATGATTGAAGCTTGACTCGAGGACTAACTCAAATAATATCCTAAAATTTAATTCGCTCCAGTACTTGATTGTTCTTAAATACAATTAACATCACACACACAAAATCACAACACAATCGATAATCTGCTAACTACTCTAAGTCCATTTAATTAAGTATAAAGCCAAGTATAAATAGGTTAATAAGCATTTTAAGGAAGTACAAAGGGATAACAGGTATAAAATCTCGATTTTATTTAAAGCATAAAATCTCTGATGACTGAAAGTGCTATTTTCTTTTTTGTGTGTGTGTGTGTGTGTTTAAAATTTTTTTTTATTTACTTATGATAGTCACACAGAGAGAGAGAGAGAGAGAGAGAGGCAGAGACACAGGCAGAGGGAGAAGCAGGCTCCATGCACCGGGAGCCCGATGTGGGATTCGATCCCGGGTCTCCAGGATCGCGCCCCGGGCCAAAGGCAGGCGCCAAACCGCTGCGCCACCCAGGGATCCCTTCTTAAGTATGATTTAATAAATTTCCAGCCAATTGACATTGTCAACCAAATTACCGTTTTATCTTCATCCACAAAAATCTCTCTGGCTTCTTCATAATTGCAAAGTTCCTCTTCGCACTCTCTTTCTAGGTCACCGGGCGTGAAGAGCTCCAAATCAAATCTATTATATAGCAGGTGTCTATGTATGAAAAGGTTTGCTTCTTCTTTTGCTGTGAAGACTAATAAAGAAACAGGTTTCAAAGGCTGATAAAATAGAGAACACTTCTGTTTTAATTATGGAAAAAGGGAATGTAAAATTGATGTAAAATTATACCAAACTTTTTTGTATGCTTTTAAATTCTTTTTAAAAACATTTTATTTATTTGAGAGAGAGAGAAAGAGCACAAGCAGAGGGAGGGGCAGAGGGAGAAGCAGACTCCTTGCTGAGCAGGGACCCAGGACCCTGAGATCAGGACCTGAGCCGAAGGCAGCTGCTTAACTGACTGAGCCACCCAGGTGCCCTTGTATGATTTTAAATTCTGATGATAAGAAATGTCATCAGTAAAAAAAAAAAAAAAAAAAGAAATGTCATCAGTAAAAGCAATGTCTGCTAAATATGAAATACAAATATTAGCATAAGTCCATAAAATACTTGTCCTGGTTATGTCCAAAATTATTAGCGTAAATGAAAATTATTTAAATATCACTTTTCCCTAGACTCTTCTACTTCAAAGCATTGGCTCTTGGGGCACCTGGGTGGCTCAGTCAGTTAAGTGTCTGCCTTTGGCTCAGGTCATGAGCCTGGGGTCCTGGGATCAAGCCCTATACTGGGCTCCCTGCTCAGCGGGTAGTCTGCTTCTCCCTCTGGCGCTCCTCATGCTCTGCTCTTTCTCTCCCTCAAATAAAAAAAGAAAATCTAAAAAAAAATAATAATAAAGGGTTGGCTCTCTATTATCTTGACTGAGAAAAATCAGTCTGGTGTAATGGACAGAGTATTGGACTAAGAGAAGACAGAGATCCTTGGTTGTGATTTGACTTAGCTCTCAGTTGTTTATCTGTGATAAATCACTAACATCTCTGTGTTGCCATTTCCTCATTTGTAAAATTAGAAAATAAACAATTACTAAGATCTCCTTATGTTTTAAAATTGTTAATTAATACATTTATGTTAAAAATTTTAGAGCAAGTTTATCCTAAAACTTTCTAAAATTTTAAACTTCTAAGTTTGCAAAACTATAAGGTAATTATAAGGTTAATTAAGAGACATTCAGCCCCTCCTAAAGAAATAACTTTCCTTCTCTACTCAACCCCTGCATAGGTGTCTACAATGCTTTATAAGACACCCTTTACCTTTTCCAGGAACGTAAATGGTAAACACGATAGAGTTACACACAGGTTAACACAAAACCAAAATATCCCACCATGGCAGTATTTTCAAAACCCACAAACTTTAAACTCATTCTAGTTGCACACAAAGAATGCTTAAGAAATCTTGTTCCAGGTCACATTACCGAGACTGGAATTCAGAAGTTCTCTGAAAACTACAACAAATGCTTAAAAGAATTTGGTATTTCACACTGCTAACCCGTACTATAAAGGAAGAATATGGGATCCCTGGGTGGCGCAGCAGTTTGGTGCCTGCCTTTGGCCCAGGGCGCGATCCTGGAGACCTGGGATCGAATCGCATGTCGGGCTCTCGGTACATGGAGCCTGCTTCTCCCTCTGCCTGTGTCTCTGCCTCTCTCTCTCTCTCTCTCTCTCTCTATCTCTGTGTGTGACTATCATAAATAAATAAAAATTAAAAAAATAAAAAATAAAGGAAGAATATACTAAAGTAGGCAACTGAAAGACAGCTCAGGACTGATGAGAGAGCATGGCCTAGAAGACTAATTCTGATTTGGGAATGACCTCAGCTTGGCCATTTATACTTAGCCCCTTGAGAACAGTCACATCTTGTCCAAGATATTTTTTTCCATTAGTCAATCACCTTTCCAAACAGGTCTGAATCTCATAGAGCTGTTTTGTTCAAAACAGTAGCCACTAGGCTCATATGGCTATTGAGCACTTGAACTATGGCTAGTTTGAATTGAGATGTGCTATAAATGTAAAATATACACTGATTTGAAAGACTTAATAAAAAGAGTATCTCAATGTATTGTTTATATTTGGAAATGATATTTTGGATATAATGGGTTAGATTAAATATGGTTATTAATATTAAATAGTATATATATAATTTTACCAATTCTTTTTACCTTTTTTTTTTTTTAAATATTTTATTTATTTATTCATGAGAGATACAGAGAGAGGGAGAGGCAGAGACACAGGCAGAGGGAGAAGCAGGCTCTATGCAGGGAGCCCAATATGGGACTCGATCCCAGGTCTCCAGGATCACACCTCAGGCTGCAGGCGGCGCTAAGCCGCTGCGCCACCGGGGCCGCCCTCTTTTTACCTTTTTAAAAGAATTATTTTGAGAGAGAGAGATAGAGCACAGGGGGTAGGGCAGAGAGAGAGGGAGAGATAGTCTTAAGAAGATTCTATGCTGAGGGTGAGCCAGATGTGGGCCTTGATGCCATGATCCTGAAATCAAGACCTGAGCTGAAACCAAGAGTCAGATGCTCAACGAACTGCACCACCCAAGTGCCCCTCTTTTTACTTTTTTAATGTGGCTGTTGGAAATTTTAAAACTATTTATGAGGTTTACATTATATTTCTATCAGCCTCCACTATCCCAGCATATACATTTCTATGTTATAAATAACATATATGAGCTATTTGAATCAAGGGGGAAGCTAGAATGCGATCCCTGGTGATAGCTATTTTAAGAACAGTGCAATGAACCAGTGTGATAAAATCTTTCTATTCTTTCTTCTCCCTTGTCATGTAGATTTTATGCTACCACCAAATGGAGACAAAATGAAAAAATTCCCAAGTCACCATTATCATTGGGATTCACATAATGGCCCTCTAAGGGGTCACCTTGCTCCCCTATACTCTGTTCTTAACACGGTATTCTAGCTACACTGGCTTTCAACGCACCTGGTTCTCTCCCGCCTTTGTATTTGCTGTTTCCCCTGAATAGAACTTTCTTCTTTCGGTTTGCTTTTTCATCTTCTTTAGTTCTTTTGTTCAATGTTACCTTAAAACCTCATCCCCCCAGCCCCGACCCACCTCTGGCACTCCCTGTCCCCTACTATACTTGGTTTTTCTCCATCACACTTGCCACCAACTTCCACCCATGTTACCACTTGTCACCACTCTGTTCCCCTTACTGGACGAAAAAGTTCCATTAAAGTCGGCATGTGGTGCCTGACACATGCGAGGTGCTCAAAAAACTATTTACTGAATGAATGAATGAACTCAACTTTTCTACATTGGGAAGAAACTCTTGGACCTAAATTCTACTGGTTAGAGCAATTCATAGGTAGAGTCTGGTATTAGTTTGTTGTAGGTTTATTTTTATTTGTTTTTAGATTATTTATTTATTTATTCATGAGAGACACACACAGAGAGAGGCAGAGACACAGGCAGAGGGAGAAGCAGGCTCCCTGATGTGGGACTTGATCCCAGGACCCCGGGATGACGACCTAAGCCAAAAGCAGATGCTCAACTACTGAGCCACCCAGGCGCCCTGTTGTAGGTTTTCTTTTTTTCTTTATTTATGAGAGAGAGAGAGAGAGAGAGAGAGGCAGAGACACAATACAGGAAGAGGGAGAAGCAGGCTCCATGCCGGGAGCCCGACGTGGGACTCGATCCCGAGACTCCAGGATCGCGCCCCAGGCCAAAGGCAGTCGCTAAACCGCTGAGCCACCCAGGGATCCCTTGTTGTAGGTTTATTTTATTTTTAAAATTTTTTTATTTATTTATGATAGTCACACACACACACACACAGAGAGGCAGAGACACAGGCAGAGGGAGAAGCAGGCTCCATGCACCGGGAGCCCGGTGTGGATTCGATCCCGGGTCTCCAGGATCCGGCCCTGGGCCAAAGGCAGGCGCTAAACTGCCGTGCCACCCAGGGATCCCTTGTTGTAGGTTTAAAATACTAAACTAGTGCTGAAGTAACCCATGGCCTGCCTCACTCAGCTATACTTACTATGTGAAATCTAATTTCACAATGGAGAATTAGAAATCTGCTTCTGTTTTGCTATGTCTCAGTTACGCAAGATCTTTACATTTTATCGGCTAAGAAAGCAGTGCCAAATTTCTCTTTGTTGGTCTTCCCTTCAAATAGGTTATTTGAGTTATAAAAATACTGTCCAATAGAACTACTTTCAACTTTCAACTACTCTCAAAGAGAGAATCATCATTTTTACTGTTCCTGAAATAATTATGCCAGTGAAAGTCTTCACTCCTAAATTAAATGTGCCCTCCAGGGGCTGCTGTTTGCCACTTGCCTGACTGTGAAGGTTCTGATTCAGTCAGTGGTTGACGTTAGACCTTCAGTGCTTTGTTAAACTTTTGCCTGTCTCCCTTTTGATCTTAGATTATCTCTTTATTTCTATACTGTCCTTTGCTACTGGGATCTTAAGTAATTTGTTTGTTATCCAAATAGGCAAACCTCCTTGTCCTGGAGCATCCTGAACTTCTCCCCTGGCCACTGCTGGAGGATGCACGTTCTTAGTACTTTAGCATTTGCCTCAGGTTCTCCTCCCATTTCTGTTTCTCCCATTTTAGGCCATCCTAAGAGGCTGTCTGTACATTTCACTATTTCAAACCCACCAACCCAGATATTCCATTCTCTTCATTTTTCCTGACTCTCCATGTTTCCTTTTTTTTTTTAAGGTTTTATTTATTTATTCATGACGGACACACAGAGAGAGGCAGAGACAGAGGGAGGACTGGATCCCAGGACCCCAGAATCATGACCTGAGCGAAAGGCAGACCACTGAGCCACCCAGGTGGCCCTCCACATTTTCTAAATAAATTTCTTTTGAGTCACTTGAACTCTACCCTTGGGGTTTATCAGAATTTAGTTGAAGGTCCCTTATTTTCCTAGTTATTTTTCTTATCTCCACTTATTATGGGCTTCTGTGCCATACAACTCTTTGGAAATAGAGTTACTGCTACTCTGTTCTTGAGCTCTCTATTTCTACCTCCGTCCCAGAGCTTACGGAAATTAATTCTTTACACTTCACCCCCTCATCAGATGAAGAGGTCCTCCAGGGCAGGGATTACAGTCTTTCATTGTTATACCTCCAGTATTTAGATTAGGGCCTTGCACATAGTATGTATTAATAAAGTGATTACAAACTGAACAAATCAGCTTTTAAAATAGATAGGATTCCTCATTTACATTTCCCATAGATATTTCCAGCCTTCTGCACTCAAGTATGATCCCTGAATTCCTTCCATAGCTTGTGAGGTCCTTGAGAATCTCTTTTATGGCACACCTGGGTGGCTCAGTCAGCTGTGTTTGCCTTAGCTCAGGTCATGATCTCGGGGCCTTGGATCCAGCCCCACATTGGATTCCCTGCTCAGCAAGGAGTCTGCTTCTCCCTCTTTCTCTCTCAAATAAATAAATAAAATCTTTAAAAAAGAGAGAGAGAGAAAGAATGCCTTTTCTGTCTACATTATGTGAACGAATACACTTACCAGCATTCTGGGGATCAGCATCTGGTCCCACTGAGTATGGACCTTCAGTCTTATATATGAGTGGACTTACACGTGTGATGTAATTTGGGAGATCACCAGAAGGATCTCCTTCTTTTTTTTTTTTTAAGATTTTATTGATTTATTCATGAGAGACACAGAGATAGCGGCAGAGACAGAAGCAGCCTCCCCATGGGGAGCCCCATGCGGGACTTGATCCCAGGACCCTGGGATCACGACCCAAACCAAAGGCAGATGCTCAACCACTGAGCCACCCAAGTGCCCCAAAGGATCTCCTTCTAAAATCTCTCCCTATTCTCATTAGCTAGCTTATTCAACTGCCTAGAATTCTGCTATCACGGTTTGATTCCTTTGGTTCAGATACCTATTCCTTTGGGTTAAGATGTCTGTCTTAAAACACATATATGCACACCCTCCTGTAAGGTTTAATACACCAAGCTGTATTAATCATTAATAAGTTGTCCAGGAGTATTAGTGTAACAGATCCTTCCCAGGTGAGAATGAGCTGAGAGTAGATCTGATAAAAAGGATTAAGAGACAGGAATGTGTGGGGATAGAGAAGCACAATGACTAGGCAAGGAGAGGGATGCTGAAGCCAAAGCCAATTTTTTTTTTTCTTTTCTGGTTCTATTTTCTGGGTTAGACTTTTTTTTAGGTTAGACTTAAGCCCCAAACCTAATCTTCCATAACCATCTGACTTTATCCAAATAACCAGAAAATTCATTGTCCAAAAGGACCTCGGGGATCAATCTACTCCCCACCCGCATCATTTCTATAGGGGAAGAAATTCAAGCAGAAAGGGGTTAAGTAACTTAAGGGGGGGGGGTCTCCTAGCAAGTCCAGACTGGATCCTGGAAATCCCCGTCCATCTTTCCAGGAAAAACAAGTAATTATGATCATTATCATTACCACACAGCCTCATCCAGAAAAACGGCACTCACTGATTTTCAGAAGTTGAAATGGAACTTTCAGAAGTTCCATTCAGTGAACCACAAACCAGGTCTTAAAATACATGCTCATCAAAAGTAACTCACAGCAATAGATTTGTATAAATTGTACCTAACATAACCACAGCATTGCCAAATAGACCACAAATTCAACTAAAGGGTATCTCAAGGCTTCTGCGATGGATGGGGGGCGTGCGATTGCAGAGCCTACACTTTCTGGTTGGACTTCTGCCGCAGGTGGCTCAGGTTTCCAGGTGGGGGTGGGGGGAGCCCGGGAACCCGAGCCGGGCGTGCTCACCTTCTTCTCCCGCATGCCTGGACTCCTTGGGACTTCTTGTGCAATGAGGAAACGCAAAGCTAGCTGGGGGCAGTTGGCTGAGCAGAACCAGCAGGGTAAACATAGTCTGGTAACTGTCAAACCACCTAAAACAAAACAAAATAGCAACAAAAAAAAAAAGGTCAAGAAAGCCCCTGGCTCAGCGCTCTGAGTTCCGGAGCGGCCTGAGTCACCGACCTGCTTGCTGCGCCCCAAACAACCGCCCGCCTGCGCCCCGGCTCGCGGGTTTCGGTCGCCCGGCCCGGCCCGGAGAGCCCGGGAGCGCCTGGGCACGAGAGCCGCGCCCCGGGCCCCGCCGCCGGCCGAGCGGGCACCTGCGGGCACCTGCGGGCGGCCCCCTCCGCCCCCCCATGCGGCGGGGCCGGGGCAGACGCCCCCCCACCCCGCCCCAGGAACCCGCCCCACCGGCCGCGGGCCCCGCACCTGCGGCTCCGGGCGCCTATGCTGCAGCAGCTCCCGGGCCGCAGCCCCGGCGTTGGTTGTCCCTGCGGCCGCCGGGTCCCCCGAGGGCGCGCGCGGAAGATGCAGCCCGGGTCCCGCAGGCCCCGCCGAGCACCTGGGCGCGCTCCTCCCCCGGGGCCCGGCCTACCTGCGGCGCGCGGCGGGCGGCGGGCGGCAGGTGCTTCTCGCACCCCGGGCCTCGGGCGGGTCCCGCCGCCAGTTCTGGCCCCGCCTCGGCGCGGGAGGCAGGGTTTGGACTCTCTCCACCCCGCGTTGCTGGAGAGTTGGGGGGTGGGGGGTATTTTCAGGGGTCAGGGCGAGGAGGAGGCCCCCGGCGCACCCTCGGGCTTTTCGCTCTGGGTTTCACTGGGCTCAGGGCCAAAGGCGGTTTGGGGATGTGAACGGGACAGTCATCCGAGAACACACACGCTTCATGAGTTCTAAGAAATGGGAGGTGACTTTAGAATCAATCGATTCCATTTGGTTCCCAAACTGTGACCCGCCAGGTCTTGGGATGTCTCCAAGGTCCTCTGAAGGGGTCTCCTAGGTCAAAACTATTTCCAGTGGGGTGATAAGTCATGATTTGCTTTTTTTTTTTTTTCGCTTTCATCGTCTCATGACTGTACAGTGGAAATTTCCAGGCCCATTTGACGTGAATGATGTCATCACTCTGCTAGTAGAACGGGCATTCTTGTGTTTTCTAGTATGCTCTATGGTAGCGGGCTTAAATAGTACTATGTGCATTTTTAAAAATATTTTATTTATTCATGAGAGAGAGGCAGAGACACAGGCAGAGGGAGAAGCAGGCTTCATGCAGGAGCCCGACGTGGGACTTGATCCCAGGTCTCCAGGATCAGGCTCTGGGCTGAAGGCGGCGCTAAACCTCTAAGCCACCTGGGCTGCCCTCACTATGTACATTTTTATAGAGATTAATAAAATTTATATGTTCTCAGAACTTTTGTAATTAGCTGCCTTTGATCATTCCTGCCAGAGTAGCCATGACCTTATTATTTTCAAATAATTATCTTGAAATCTTGAACTCTGAGTTTATGTGGAAACGGAACAAAAAAGTACACTTTATTGACTTGATTGGAGATTATATTCTGAAACCAGTTTTAATATGTAATACGATAAATACCATTAGATAGACTTCACGTTAGTAAAGGCTCTTTGGGGCCCTGGATAGCCTTAAAGAGTGTAAAGAGGTCCTGAGACCTAAGAGTTTGGTAATTGTTGCCTCAAGTAATGAAGGCAGCCTGTGGACAGAGGACCCATGCCAAGTAACATTCACGTCCTTCCTTGTCCAAATGACTTGTTAACAATTCTTTGAAACATAATTTAAGATTCTGTGCTTTGACCCTAAGCGGCTTGACACTTGCTGGAAATCAGAGGAAACATTTTTTTCCCCTTTCTAGTTCTTTTTTAATTAATTTTTTTATTTTAAAGATTTTATCTATTTATTCATGAGAGACACAAAGTGAGAGGCAGAAACACAGGCAGAGGGAAAAATAGGCTCCATGCAGGGAGCCCGATGTGGGACTCGATCCCGGGACTTGATCCCGGGACTCCAGGACCACACCCTGGGCAGAAGGCAGGCACTAAACTGCTGAGCCATCCATGGATTCCCAACCCCCTTCTAGTTTTCAATTCAGCTTCCACCCGATTCTTTTTCCTCTTCACAAAGGCTATTGCCTGTTTTATTCTAATTATTTGGAATTAAGTGAATTCTTCCTAAGTTTTCTGCAGAGATTTTTGTCTTCAAGGATTCCTTCAACATACTGTTCTTTCTTTTCCCTTCTCCTAATCTCTTCCTCTTTGATTTCCATTTGTCCACCTTGTCTCTAACTTGTTTCCATGATAGATCTTTCTCTCTTTCAATCCTTTTGTTGTTTTTAAGCAGCTGGAATCAGAAGGAGAAGAGACAAGAAATGATTTCTTGTGTTTGACATCCCAGAACAGGAAAGATCTTTATTAGAGCACCCATTCTTCTACTTATTCATTTAGCCAAACTACATCACTAAGCCCGGAGGATACAAAGATAAATACCACAGTGTCTGTTTTGGAGAAGAATTTAATCTAAATCTATATCTAAGAATGTGGGTCTGTAAAGTTCTCATAAAGGCAAGAACTGATTTATTCATCTTTATATCCTCCATGGTACCCAGCAGAGCGCCTTTTATGTTGTTCATGCTCAATACATTTTTTTTTTTTTGGATGGAAGCAATTTATTTTCATGTGAGAAAAGTGCTTCACACTATATTGGGAGAGGCAAATGGTCAGATGCCTCATGCTGTGGAATAAGCAGATGTGAACTTTGGTGACATTCCTTGGTAGAATGCATCCACCCACATATCTGGATATTTGGACCAAAACAAATGAGGCTTTGTGCTTTCATCAAATATCAGAGTTTATAGTCTGAGAGGGGAGTCACATACAGAAATGAAAGTGTTTCTCAGTGGTGAATCACATCCCTGCATGTTTCCCTGTAATATTGGATCCTAAAGAATATTATAGCGTTTGGCAGTATGCATACAAACTTCAGCCACTATAGAATTGCAAGAGATTTTGAGATTAGATAACAAAGAAAGAAAAGAGAATATAAGTAATAACATTAATATATAAGTAATAACATTGTCCACGACTGCTGATTTCGGTTATTTACTTGCTGTGTTCATTTTCTTATTTTGTGCCATCTCCTTTTTAAAGTCATGGTATTCCTATGCTTTTCTTCCAAAAAATTTTAAGTACTTTTATTTTGGCCACCTGTGGAATTGGGCCAGATATTATGATTCTCATTTTGCAAAGAGGGATACTGAAGCATGAAGAAGTGAAGGGTCTTGAATAGTCATTGGCCAAATAGTCACCTGGCTTTTGACTCTTCCCAGTGCTTTTTTGAGTTATTAACAAGCAATGGAGGTCAGTAGGTAAAGCATTATTTGATTTCAAAAGAAATAAGAAAAAAACAGAGCCATGAGATGAACGGACTTGGGTTAATGTGATAATGCATCTCTGAGTTTGAGCATATACCCACCCATTTACCTGTGTGAACTCAAGAATGAAATGGAAACTCACTTTACTGTGTGGGCATGAGGATTGACTCAAGGACTGTGACAGGAAATGTGAAGGCTGCAGCCATGAAGCTTTGCAATGTAAGGTCGCATCCACATCCTTAAAGACACATCGATGACTGTGTCATTAGCCTACTTGGAGCAGGAGATGCAACTTTACTCAATTTGATGTTTCTGTGACATTTTAGCCTTGACATTTTAACAGCAATTGTTTGCTGTTTTAATTTCTCCCAGTAAAATCAGTAGGTGGAAAATGTAAGACTCCTCCTGTTCAAAGTTGATTATCTATATCCGAGCGCAGGTATGTTTGGATTCAACAAATAGGCAAAGGGACTAAAGATTTAATCTTAAATATTTACTTAAAACCCTCTACAGGAACTTTTGACTACAGCTCGTGTATAACTCTATCATTTAAGAACAATGATTAATAACAAAATTAAATCACATCAAGAACGGTGTGAAAGGTAATCCAATTTCATGGTCATCTGGTTCTGCGTCATGCTGTGGGTAGTAATAAGAGCTATATGTCATGCTTTAAAAAAAATTATAATCCTTTTAGTCCTAACAGGGTACATTCGAACTTGAATCAGTGTGTTTCCAAGCTGCCCTCAGGGGCCTGTGACAGGGACTTGTGTCACAGTTGGTCACAAAACTCTCACTCTTTGTTCAGACTTCAGCATTTTTACAATTATAGTTCTGTCACTCGTCAGACTCAGTTCATCATCATAATCTTACTTTCTGACTGATAACACAATTTTTTTCTTCCTCTTATTTTGTAAACCCATGTTCAGATAATCATGTTGTTCTAAGTAAACACACAACATTATGTGACATCAATTGCAAAACCATACTTTCCGTGCACATGTTTAAAAAGGGAGTTCAAACAAATCATTCATTTTTAGCTATACAATTGATGATGTTTAAGTATTTTTCATTTATTCTGCTTCAAAGAAGGATCAATAACACAGTGTTGATGTTGCTGGTAGAGATGAAAAACACACATTAGGAAATCTAGAAATCAGGATCCTATTTATCCTTCTTTGGTGAAGGATTCTCCTCTGGTTATTTTATTTTATTTTTTTAATATTGTATTTATTTATTCATGAGAGACACAGAGAAAGAGGCAGAGACATAGGCAGGGGGAGAGGAAGGCTTCTTCCAGGGAGCCTGATGTACAACTTGATCCCAGGCCCCCGGGATCAAGACCTGAACCCAAGGCAGACCCTCAACCACTGAACCACCCAGGTGTCCCCTCCTCTGTTATTTTATAGACCACCCTGGCTTGAAATGTTCAAATAAGAGTTCTCAATAGCTGAGTTTTGACATACAAAATGTGGATATTAAAGTATTATTTCTTTTACTGATGTATACTAATGGCTTTAGTAAAGCTTATGACTCTCCTTTATCTACTTTGACCTCTGCCACTCTGACAGGTCCTTGGGATCCAGGAACAAAATTCGCTAATCTCTGTACCTCACCTGACACATAGCAGGCTTTCCTGACTGCTGAGTAAATGAAAGAATTCTTCTCTAGCTAGATTCCTTTGAACAAATCGCTTCTCTGAACAATCTCTGTCTCTTCTGAGACACTGAAGTTTTGGCCTGAATGAACTCTAAGATTTCTTCCTATGCTAAAATCCTATGGTTCTTTGAGCATCTTTAATAATAGAAGGCTAAAGGGGGCTTTATTTAAGTAATTTTTTTCAAAAAATTATTTTTAAGTAATCTCTACACCCAATGTGGTGCTCGAACTCATAACCCTAAGATCAAGAGTTGCATGCTCTGCTGACTGAGCCAGCTATGTGCCTCTATTTAAGTAATTTTCTAATTATTCTTTCCTGTTATAGATAGTCTTGGATGATTTGCTTTTATATAACTTATGTTACTTAAAAGGAAAGTAATCACATTAATAAATGTTAGAATTTGGCTGTATACACAAATTATGTATTTTATAATTTGTTAACCCATAATTATACAAAATGGGAAATTAATATATTTTTCTATGTGGCAAAAGAGATACTAAACCATTTCTAGACTTATCTCTAGTCTGATAACTTGATTTATAGTTTTCATTTTTGTGTTATCAGGTGACATTGCTGCTGAACTCCTGTTTTATTTCTTTTCAACTTTACTACCTTCTTATCAGATTTGTATTGAATTTATATATAATTTTATATTTCTGAAACTGCAGTTTCTTCCGTTATAGTTCT